GAAGAATAAAATTAATATTAATTGGGCACTCACTATTATGCATCATATGAATCATCAACTGAAATTGAGTGGTGGATTACCTTATGCTAGGGCAATCACTAAAATTCTTGAAAATGCTAGTGTTATATTGAAAAGAGAACCAAAGATAATAATGACAGATAAAGAGTGTGAAATCAATGACAAAACTACTTTGAAGAACACATGTATCGTTATAGCTCGTGATGGCACTTTTGTCTACAAGGAAGGTCTCGCACCCGATGCTCCTCCCACGGTTCCGGAAGGCAGTTACACTATGGAACTTTTATTCAACAAGATGTACTCTATAGAAAGTACCATTGCTCGTAATCATCGTGAAAATAAATTTGAACATGCTTGTTTCAAGCTTCAAATGAAAGAGCTTCTCAAATACCAAAAGAAACAAATGGAAGAAGAAGAGGAGGAAGAAGGACAAGAGGAGGAAGAAGGACGGGAGGAGGAAGAAGGAAATGAGAATATGGATGAATGATTCTAACACATTATACTTTATTCCTATTATGTTTTCAAAATGATATGTTATTTTTTGTTGTAGTTTATGTTTTAGTTATGTTTTCTTCCTTTTAAGACAATATTCCCTTTATGCTCGTTATGTTTAGATAATGTTCTCATTAGGAGTTGTAATGTTTAAAACCATAGGAGTTTCGTAGTATGATGATATGTGTGTTTATTATGATATGTTGTCTATCTTTACTACTTATTCCTTTCTTCACTCCTTTTTTCTTATGACAAAGGGGGAGAAGAATTAGTGTATGTATATGTGTTTCTCTAACAAAATTTGTAGCAAGAAAAAATTCAAGCGGACTCTCCTTCATGAATCAAGGGGGAGCTTTGATTTAGGGGGAGCCTTAAGTGTTAGAGAAAATAAGATGGGATGGATCAATTTTTCAAGCAAGGGTTGTCATCATAAAAAATGGGGAGAATGTGAACTCAAGCTTCCTAAAGTATTTTGATGAAGAGAAGCTATCATGCATAAAATGGTTGCAAAATGGAACGGCTCAAGTCATCTATATAATCAAGTCTTAAAGAAATCAAGTTTCAAGGTATAAAGTTTCAAGGTATAAAGCTTTTAACTTCTCTATGTGCATACAAGTGTTCACAATAAAGTTTCATTCATTCCATAATGGTTAAATGTTTTTTAGATCATAAGACTTGGCTTTTACATCATTTTTAAAGGAATTATTTATGTCTAGTTCACTGGGAACCGGTTACCCCTCTTTTAACTGTGCTAAATTTTCTGTTTCGAGCTTGGGAACCCAGTTACCCAGTTATGGTAACCGGTTACCCAACGTTAATTTTGAAAAATTTGAACGTTGCTTCAGTGGAACCCGAGTACCCACTTATGGGAATGGGTTGCCACTGAAGCAATGTCTCAAAATACTGCATTTTTTGAAGAGAAACTTTATATGATTTATCTTTTGAACCATGGCATCCCTTCATTCATTATACTCTTTTGTAGAGGTGTATAGAGGATATAAAAACTCATTTATTTTTCGAATTAAAACACCTCTTTCATCTACAATTCAATAAAAATTAAAAATACTCTTCATCTTTCAAAATTCATAGTGTTCATATCAAAATTTTTAAAGTGAAATTTTATGCGCTTAACTTTCATTGAAAATTAAGATAAATTTCATTGCATGCATTGAACACTTGTATACCATTGTTGAGAATTGTTTGCTTGAAAGGGAAGATCAACCAAGTGATTGATAAAGTACATACTACTTCAAATATTCTTATCAAAAACTCAGATTATATTGTTGTAACATTACTGTCAAGGATTGTTGGAGGCAGGTGTGTGCATTGAAGAGGATTGTTCTTCTTGCACTTAGTGTTTAAATCTTAAAGGTCTTAAGAACCTTTGATCTTTCTATAGGTTAGATAGTAAGCATCGCAAGTTGTATGAATAAGCTGTATAATCATTCTAACTATAATGAAAATCTCTTACATGTGGTAAGGGGACTGGAGTACTCTCGAATTGTGAGGGGAACCAAGATATATCCTTGTGTCTTTTATTTTTTCTGCATTGTACCACCTTCATAAAAACACCATAAAACCAGAAAAAATATCCAAGCATCAATTAAAACCGATAAAAGTTTTTAAAGTCCTAATTTACCCCCCTCTTAGGCGCATCTCTAACTTACAATTTTCGACACTCCCCGTCAAGTGTGAGTCTGTCCACAATGCTCCTCCTCAAGTGAAAGCTCTTTCTTCCATAAACACTTATATTGTCGTTGATATTTTTCAACAGGACACTTATGAGAATTTTGATACAAGTAAGTCAATCTCTTCACTCGAATCAGGCTCTGATATCCTTTGTTGGGGCAATTAAGGGGGTGTTAATACGAGCGGGCATCTTTAAATTTGAGGACTTTTCTTTTGAGCAACGCTCCTTTGTGAGGGACACATTACATACTCGCCCAAAATCTTAAGGTGATAGGTGTGGATTCTCCCACTCATAAATGCTCAAGTATCCACATTTTTAATCAATGTGTGACTTCTCCAAAAGAAAATCCCCAAAGATGATAGATGTGTTGCTCAATAGAAAAGTCCCCAAATGTAAAAGTATTCTTTGTGATGACCCCCCAAATTGTCCCAACAAAAGTTTCCACATTCCAAACCAATACGAGACTTTCCCACACTACTCAAACTTGTAATTCTTTTCCATCACTCCCCCCTTAAGTGGAAACTCCTTTATCCACATACACTTTACCTCCGTTGAAACTTTTTTAACGAGTCAACGAGGAATCATTTTTACACTTTCGAAACTATCCTTTGAGCAACACACATTTACCACATACTCGCCCAAAACCTTAAAATGATATGTATATACTAAAGTCTTCATATTTTTAACTAATGTGTAACTTTCCTATACTATTCACATTTATAATTCTTTTTCAACAACCTCTCATCCACCTTCTTTAACTTGACCTTCTTCTTAACTACGAACTCTAAATAAAACTCTAATAATATCCCTAACCTTCCTCACGTTAAACTCTAAATAAAACTCTAATAATATCCCTAACCTTCCTCATTTTAGTCATGTCCCCAAGGCCTTTAACATTCATTAATAAATTTATTATAACATATGAATTTTAATATATTATCATATCAACGGAACTAATCATTAATAAAATATTCTACTAACAATCATTAATAAATTTATTATAATATATGAATTTTAATACATTATCATAATCATTAATAAAATATTCTACTAACAATCATTAATAAATTTATTATAATATATGAATTTCAATATATTATCATATCAACGGAACTAATCATTAACTTTAAAAAATATTGTATATAAAATAGAGTGAGTTCATTTTTGTTGTTGAGAATAGCTATCGTGTGAGTGTTCGGTCCACATAAATTTGTAATAGAGCTTACACGTGATTTAAAATTGGCCTTTGGTCCTAAGATTTGAAATTATGTTTAACAATAATACACGCTCAGCTTCAATTTCACAACTCCAATAAACCCAAAGAAATACAATAATCCATTCATTGCATAAACTTAAGTTTTTTTTTAACGACAATTTATCACATAGAGATTAATTACTATCAATTTTAGACATCCGGATGCGTTATTTTATAAGTGATTGTTAGAGTACCTTCAATGGAGGGTTTTTTCTTGTGTTGCTCCAACTTTTTATTAGATTTTTTAAGTTTATCGTTGGAGTGATATGTTATTTATTCCATTCGGCATTACGGTTGCATTGCAATGCGACGTTGCTTTGATAATATTTACCTATTAAATACTATTATTTTATGAATAACTATTATTGTGGAGTTCAATGTCAGTATTTACAGAATTGCACTACTAGAGCTAAAGTTAAATGAGTTATTTAGAATTGATGTGGCAAAAAGACCCACAAAATAATCAATGGTGGGTTGCATCATTTGAGATCTAGTCGAGCATATTTGGGAACGTTTTGGACATGAGAATGATGAAAATTAAATTTGAGTAATTCTGTTATGTTATTTATTTTTAATGTTTTTAATTATATGTCATGTATTTGAGATTAATTTTAATTATCATTTTAAATTTTAAATTTAATTTTAATTTGATTTATTTTATATTAATTTAAATTTAAATAATTATTTTAAATCAAATAAAACTTAATATGAATAAAATATAAATATATAAAGTAAAAATATGAGACTTAATTTGACTTCTTTAGAGTTGTACTATTGGAGTGAAAATGAAATAACTTACTTTAAGATGATGTGGCTTTATAGGTCTCACAAAAAAACTAAAAATTGAGTTGCACTATTGGAAGTACTCTCAGTTTTCTTTCAAAGTCCAACATCTATAATTAATTGTTTATGTAAAACTTTTTTATGTTATCAATACAATTAATTTAATTCTAATAAATACTCCATTAAAAAAATAACAATTAATCTTTCTCTAAAGTATAAAGAAATTCAATATTTTTTCAGATTCTATTTATATAAAAAAATATTTTTTAAATTTATTGAATAATCAATATATCTACGGTATAATAGATCTTATATATTAATTATTCAATACATTTAAAAAATCAATTTTCTCTTAAAGTATATTAGAAAGAATATCAGTTAAGTTAATATCAGCAAACACAATTAAAAGAAACAATCAAGCAAACATAAGGAATAACCCAAAACAAACAAAAAAAAAATAGAGAGAAAATGAAAATCTCAAAAACGGAGCCATCCAGAAATAAAATAAAAATACACAATTATGAAACAAAGATTCCACAAATTTATTAGAATTGAAAAAACAAAGTTGGTAAATAAGGCAAACAAGCTTACCCCATTATTGAAAGGACGTACACATTTTACTTATTAATCCATACTTGGATTCATGATAATTTAGCAAAATCATGATGTCACCTTAATTCTTTTACGTAAACAATAACTAAAATAAAAACATCATAGTAGAAACATAAGTACTTGTATGGCTTGAACCTATAACATGAAATTCTATGAGCACTGGAAACCAGAAGGAACAGATTTTTCACAAGCACTGAGTAGGAGACTGAGTGTGATAGGAACATTCAAGTTGATACCAAGAACATTAGCCTTAATAGCAGTACAAAGGCAAATCGCTGCATCCAAATCAGCCAAGCCCTGAATCAATGCACAACACTTGCTTGAAGCAGGTGATCCAAGAGCAACATTAACAAGTCCAAGAAGATCAGAACAAACACCTAGCTTTAATGTGTCCTTTGGACATTTTTGTGATGTTGAAGGAGTAGGAGGACTAGCCGTAGGTGGTGTAGTTGAAGGAGTAGGAGGACTAGCCGTAGGTGGTGTAGTTGAAGGAGTAGGAGGACTAGCTGTAGGTGGTGTAGTTGAAGGAGTAGGAGGACTAACCTTAGGAGGAGGACAAGGTTTAGGTGTTGGTGGAGGACTAGGCTTAGGTTTTGGGTTGCATGAACCACAAGCATGGGAAAATGTGGAATAGGAAAGAAGAGAAAGGATTACAATGAGTGCACTAAACTTGTTGGAAGCCATTGTTATGAAATAAACACTAATGTTTTTTTTTTTTGGTGTGTTTTGGTGTTGAATTGTAGGATGAGAAGAAAAGGAGAGAATTGGACCACTTTTATAGGCAAATGTTTGTGAGGTTCAATCATGTAATTTGATATCCTAGTGGTTGTTAAAGACTAGGGAGTTATATTATCTATAGTTAGTTGTAACTAGTAAACTAAATGTTTTTTCAATTACCCTTGGTCGTTGGTGGTGTTAATTTGATAGTCGTGTACACTAAAAATTTAGATTGTCTCATTGTAATTTTGTTAGCTAATATAAGATTTTTCAGATGATTAGTGTAATAGACGTTCTTTCTAGGAAACTTAGTGTATGTTTGGTTTCAATTCTAGAAAATATAGAAGCATTTTTATAGGGCAAAATTGATTTTGCAATGATTTTAATTTGTTTTGTTTTGTTAAAGTAGAATTGATTCTACCTCTAGAATTGATTCTACTAGCAGTTAGAATTTGTAGCTTCTATTTTTAGAATTGATTCTCGGTGATTTTTATATTGAAATTTATTGTTCAATTTACTTTTACATAAATGTATCCAAAGATAAATCAATTTTACTAAACTCAATTATGTTAAAATCAATTCTACCAAACTCAATTATGATAGAATCAATTTTTTTCACCGACAATCTACACATACGCTTAGTCTTCTCTTTGAGAATTTCCTTTTTTCATGTGATAGGACAAAGTCTAGAGGTGATTTCCTATGATTTGTTATGTTGTCGTCCGAACTATTTAGATGGTCTAAAATGATATTATATTTTCCGGCTCCTCAACAATGAAAGAAGTGAAGGAATTTTTTTTTTAATTTAAAAATGATTTTTAGTAGATCAACAAAAAACTCTTACATTCTAACGACTCCATCATTTCGATTAACCAATAGTTGGTCGAGATTTTATTATGGTTTTAAGTGTTTGTGGTTATTTGCTCTTTGTGATCGGTGGATCTGGAACTGACTGTTTAACGCTTGTTCGCGAAATGTCGCGGAAGCAAGAGTCGCCACCGTCTTTTATTTTCTCTAACATGGACAGGACAAAAGCACAGCAAAATTCCTTATGAGATTGTTTCTCGGTTCGGGAGGTAGATTTATAGAAAGGGAAGGTGTTAGCACCCCTTCTATCCATGGTTATCCATGGGCTCTTAGATACTTGCTCATTTGTTTTCAAAAGTATTTGCTTTTCAAGTGTGAGTGGGTTTGAAAAAGTTTCGTTTAAAGATTTCAGATCGACTCTTGTATCAGTCCTCAAGAGTGTTTGAAAAATTGCTTTGAAAGCTTTTTTGAAAGTGTCGGTGTGAAAAGAAGTTTTGATTTGCTTTTGAATAGAGCAAGTATCTTTGAGTCATCTACCTACCCTAAGGAATTAGGCTGTGTAAATGTCCTTAAGGTAGTGCCATCCCACCATTGAGAGGTAGGTAGTACCACCGTTGGAGGTGTTCGAGTCAATTCGTTTGTTAGGGACAGTGTGGTCACCAGAGCAACAGTAAGACACCTTAGAAGCTACCCTTATGTCCTTGATCCTTTTTTAATTCCGAGGCAACTTTTCCGAGACAACTTGTTTTGAGGCATATGGATCAACGGACATAAGGACTTACTAAGACGTCCTATACTCGACGACCACGTTTCGAAGGTAAGGCAACAGTGAGGCGTACCCTAAGAGTGGTGTGTGAATTTGTGTGTTGTTTTCATGTTAATATTTTTCTTTGATCATGCATTTGTGGTGATCTACGCTTGTTTTTAATTTAGGCCATACATTCTTTCATGCAATTATAATTTAAAGGTGCGGAAATTTAAATGCGAAAAGATAAATCCTACGCTATTACAAGGCGCGGGTCTATACATCACCAAATTAACAAAGACCCGTTTTAATAAAAAAATGCGGAAAATAAATAAATTCCTAATTACTATTACACGGCTTGAGCAATTACATAATATTCAAAAAGAAAAATAAAATAAGAATAAATGCGCGAAAAGAAATTAGAATCGAATGTTCGAGGGCGTTGGACCCTTTTTGAAATTAAATTAAAATTAAGACTAATTAGTTATTTAATTAAGAAAAGAAATGTTTTTATGTTTTTTGTATTTATGAAATAAAGAAATTAAAATTGAAGAGAAACCCTAATTCTAAATATTTTTAATTATAAAAGAAAAAGTTAAAGTTTAAAACCTAATTTACACTAATTATTTTACATATTTATTTACAAAGATATTTAATAATTAATAGTAATAATAATGAGAAAATTATTTATTTAAAGAAAAAAAGAAAAGATAAAAAAGTTAGAAACCCTAATTTCTACATATTTTAGTTATTTAAGAAAAAATGTTAAAATTGAAAAAAAAACCTAATTTATTAAACTAAGTTATTATTTAAAGTTTATTTACAAAAATATTTACTAAATAAATTAATTGACATATTTTAATTTCTGATATTTTTATTATGAAAATTAATTTTATGGTGAAAATAAATAATTAAAACATTAAAAGAATTTAAAGAAAAAAATCAAATGAAAAGCAAAAATAATGCAAACCAGGGGGGGGTATCAGGCCCTTGCTGGAGGTTTTTGAAGCATTCTGGCCCATTAGACAAAAAGCCTTGTTTGACTTTCTGGCATCACGTGCGTGTTCATTGACTCCTGAGTACCGTGGTCTGCATTCTTTGGCCATTGGATTGAGTTTCATGGCCATTTGTGTTCTGGCTGTTGGCCATTTGTGTTCTGGCCGTTGGCCATTTGTGCTCTGGCTTCAACGTTCCTTAATCTTCTCAGGATGTCTGTCTCGCCATGTATTGGTGTCATGCATAAGTTGTTCTACTTTGGCCATTTGGCTTTTGGCTTTTGGCCATTTGTGTTTTGGCCTCAACGTTCCTTAATGAACCTGCATGGGATCCCTTACTGGAAAATTAGTTACATGAATGCTTTTATGCCTTTTGGATCATGGAGATCAAGCCAGCCTTACCCTTACTGAAGAAGTAGTGAGGTGTTGGTTTGTAATTGTGATGGCTTGTTTGTAGTGAGAGAGGGATTTGTAATAAGGATTTCAAGGTTTTAGGGTTCTTGAAAGAATTTGATATTCTAACAGTGTTGTGGCAAGGTTTTTTTCTCTCTCTTTCTCTCCTTCTTTTTTTTGGTTTGTGTGAAAAGAATGTGATTATATAATGGAAATTAGGGTAAAGAAAATGGGCTTTGAATGTGCAATTGGGCCTCCAATGTTCACTTGAGTTTGTCACTTTCCAGGCTAAATCGCATGGACTTAAGTGAAATTTTTGAAGTTGAAATGTGAAAACAAAATGTAGCCGACATCGAGAACTAACTCCTGTCCGAAAATCGGCTCAATCGGATAAACGGTGAATTAGTTATGAATTTTTGAAGTTTCAGCTCAAGCAAACTTATTTTGGGCTCCAGTGTCGACTCTGACACGTTCTTCAATAAAAAACTGGTATTGATCGGAGCATAATCCGGTCTCGACTTTTGAAGCAAAGTTGTAGATCTATGAGTCAGTGACCTTGTGTAAAAATATGAGCCAAATCTGATAAAAATTGACCGAGTTATGAATTTTCGAAGTTTCGGCCCAGATGAAATAATATTCAGCATTCAGGATTTTCAGCGTGTCACGCACTCTGAGCAAAAAACGAAGACCTTTTGAACACCGTTCGAACTCGATACCTCATGTGAAAATGTAGCCAACTCAATTTGTGAAATTTTGGCGCCAGAACCAGCTCGATACGATGAAAATCGACCAAGTTATGATTTTCTGAACATGACGCAAATAAACTTCTGTCACAAATTTTCTGTATGAAAATACTTGATAAATCCACATTTTTGAAGACCTTCTGATCGAAATTGGCTTCCAGCCGTGAGAGATGAAAACGTAGATAATGTCAAGACGGAATTTTGGCCACCAGAACGGGTTCAAAACGAGCCACGATCTTCAAGTTATGAATTTTTTAGCGCGTAAAAACTGCACTTTCAACACATTTTTTCACCATATTTCTTCGAGAAAACTCACACATTCGGATACCTTCTTTAAAGAATTGACTCTTGATCTGAACCTGAATTTGAGAATACGTTATCAGAGATATCTTGGCGAAAGAATACCTGAATATGATGCGCCGGGTTGGACTTGTGAATTTTTCTTGAAATATTTTGAGAAATATGGGAGGGCAAATTTTGGGGTACAACAGTTGCCCCTGTTCAATCTTCTTAAACCTGAGGATGTAGATTGGCTTGCGTGCCTTTCGTGATCCGAAGGTGGAAGATGATTGAACACTAAAGTGCCCAGAAATTTGCACTCGCATGGTGTAGTATCAGCAATGTGATGTAGGGGGAATGGGCTTATAGATGCCATTTGGAAGTGATGGATGGGGGGATGGGCTTATAGATGCCATCTGGAGCTGTGACAGAGCTTTGTCGGGAATGGGCTTATGGATTCCATTTGGAGACTGTTGGTATGTGGATGGGCTTATAGATGCCATCGAGAGGTTGTCGATCGCGTAAGAGATTCCTTAGCGAGAACTTGCGTACCTGAGAAAGAAAGATAATTACCTGGCCTGTTACAGGGGTTGATCTTTAAACTCTTCGTGTAGATGTGCCCTGGCTGGATACAGGTATCGAATCTTCAAACTCTTCAGACGTGCCCTGGCAAGATACAGGAATCGAGTTCGGAGAATAGTCATCAACAGATACACCCTGGCAAGATACAGGAGTCGGATCTTCAAACTCTTCAGACGTGCCCTGGCAGGATACAGGAATCGAGTCTGGAATTAGTCGTCAACAGATACACCCTGGCAAGATACAAGAATCAGATCTTCGAACTCTTCAGACGTGCCCTGGCAAGATACAAGAATCGAGTCTGGTAATGTTAGGTTGGTGAGTTGTCTCTACTGACAGGTAATTCTCATGGACGAGTGGTCTTTAACAACGAGTGTCTATAACGACGAGTGTCTATAACGACGAGTATCTATAATGACGAGTGTC